CTTTAACCATAATACCTATTCCACTTCATTATCTGCTTCACCAAATATACATCAACAACAAATTCCAACACAAGACAGTTTACAGTACATTCAAGAAAAGTTACTGAAACAGCTTTCTCCAGAGCAAATATTCCAATTATACATGGTTTTGGAAAAGTTACCAATACATTCTTCACATCATCAACAACCATCTGTACAGCTGAACATCAACAATGAGTCAACACATGTGGTGGTCAACCCACTAAAGCAAACAATTTCTATTGGACACAAATCATCTATTGAAGATGATTTTTCTCATGAAAATGTATCGCTACTCTTGATGAATGCTTTACATAATCAACATCAGCAACATGAAAGTAGTTCAAGCAGTAATGTGTTATTCTCATCAACACATGCTTCCACCAGTTTAATCCTTTCGAATAATTTAAATGCTCTCACATCTCATCACGAAGCATCCTCTTCCATGAATCAACATGCATCCAACAACACAATTGATTTGAATACAGTCCATCATGTTGTTAACCAATCAATTTCTCCAATTTCCTCTAAAGCTATTTCAATGCATAAATCCATGGCATCTTCATCGGATTCTTCAACTCGAGAGGAAATTCCAAGCCTTATGATACCTTGTAGTGGCGTTAAGAAGAGCTCGAAACTAGAAAAGCATAGACCATCCCCAGAATCAACATTAACATGTAACTTTTCTATGCATACTTTGGAATCGTTTAAAACTGAACAATTGAGAATACAAAGTTTGCCAAAGAGACCTAGAGGTAGACCTAGAAAACCTGGATCAATTCCAAGAGGAAGAAAGAAAACTGTGTCCACAACAGATGAACAGAAGCAACAAGATGATTCAAATTCATCAGATAACGAATCATCGTCGTGCAGTGATGATGCCAGCAGCGATCAATCCACAAACTCTGCAGAACCAAACCATTAAAGTATTTAAATTGTAAACAATAAGGTTAAAGATTCAAATAATAGATCGCCATTTAGTAATGAAATACTTTCTGACTAAATTTAGAAGAATGTCAGTTGCTAATGACATACTTACGGAAAAAAAGTATTTTGTAATTTACATTATGTGTAACCTCGCACATACAATCCCTTCTTTAAATTATTGGCCAACTTGAAAGAGCTTTCGCCTGGTATGAAGAATTCAAACTATTTCAATAATAAAATTTGAAATAATTAGATTTTGTCCACAGATCTTCCACTGCCGGTGTGATGAGGAATAGTAGGATATACAAATTTCTCCGGTGACTTTGTACCAAGAAATCATAGTGTGTGATGGACTTTTTGCCTCAGACACCAATTACAATTTCGAATAGTGTTATATTAGCTGTGGTATCTTGCATGAACCTTTCTCATCGAATTCAGTCTCTGGATCCTTATTCTCCTCAATTTCAATTACAGGTGATGAGCAACTCATCTTTGATGCAACCACTTCCTGATTCTTCAAAAACGTAAACTCTTCCAATGACCTTGGATATCACTGCCGTACGAAACATTGTGATCATTACACAATGGATTGAACATTCTTCTGCATGGATAAACATTGGAT